CTCTCTCTCTCTCTCTCTCTCTCTCTCTCTTTCTCGTTAGCTCCCATAGAAAATAATACCGCGCAACGGTCGTATTAAATTACAAAATTGCTTCCTAGACGCGAATACCGCGAGGAAAATCGTACTTGTGGGAATGCGAAATTTCTCGGAGCTCCATCGGCGGCTGTACCCGAAGGGACTGGGCATTCATGACCTCTGACGAGTACACAACGGAGGGTACACCTTCGGCCGTAACTTCAGGCGACGGTGGTCCTCATAGCGGAATCGCGCCGCTCCACGAGTAAATAAAGAAGCGCGCGTGGGTGCGAGGATGTGTGCGCCCGGTCAACTTGAGTTCCTTCTTCCTCCTGCTCTCTCGACGTTTTCTCTCTCTCTCTCTCTCTCCCTCTCTCTCTCTCTCTCTCTCTCTCTCTCTCTCTCTCTCTCTCTCCCCCCTCTATCTGTCTCTTTCTCTCCTCGTCCTCCCCTTCACTCTCACTCACACATACGACCACGTACGCGCACGTCCACGCACCACGGTGCACGTCGGCGGACTGTTTACCACCGTCGCCAGAGGCCAGATGTTAGCTTCCGATCGCGATCCTCTCCTCGGCATCACCGCGGTGGCCGACGATCGGCCAGTGGCTGCAAGCAGTCGTTGGCTGGCAGAGGCGCGGAGACAGTCGGACGACAGTCATCCGGTGATTCTGATAAGAAAACTCCGCCCAGATAGCGCCGAGATACTCTTCGGAAATCGGGTTAGAGGTTGTTACGCGGGGGGGGGAGAGAGGAATCGTCATTCTGACACTTCGAAGACGATGAGGATCGGAAGAGTGACACACAGAACGAGCAACGTCGCCGTCGGCCTCGGCCGGCGGTCGGCGCGTGATCAAGTTTCGGGCAGAGATAAAGGGGGAAAAAAGAGAGAAAAACGAAGTTTTAGCGGCAAGCCGACGCGTTGTGCTCGCGTTGCGATTTTCACGTCGGCGCATCGACGAGAAGTTGATCTCGCGTTTAACGAGAATATTTCTCGGTATGGCTACGTCGACGCGATGACGCGCTTAGTATTTTTCGAATCGGAGAGATGGATCATGCGGCGCGCGACGGCTAAGAAAATATTTTGTCGGTTCTTGTGGGAAATTTGTATGACGCTCTCAATTCGATAATCGTGTTTGCTATTCGGACAGCGCGCAGGTAACAGTGGATAATATTATTTTACGTTATTTACACACAATATACACGCAATATATACACTAGAGTCGTGGTGATACATCGAGTTACGTGACGTAGCTCTGACTGCAAATAATACGGGGGGAGCAGTTTGGGCCGTTCTCGACGACCGATTCTTTTTCCCTCCCTCGTGAATTCTCTCGTTACCTCGTTTTTGTTAAGAGTTATTAAATGAAAACTTTCATTACGTGAAACAAACTCGCGTAGTTCGGTGGGCCGTGAGGCGCGTCGAGTGCGGAGCGCATGTTTTTCTAATCACGCGGCTAGATATAGCACGATCGCGTGTGTCGGTGTATGTCATCGCGTTTATCGCGTTACAAACACGCGCCTTTTATTATACAAATCACACTCGGCGAGCGATGACGTTGGCGCATTGGAAATCATTATTACACCGTCGTGATAATAGGTCGGACGTATCGGGGCGAGGATACGCTGCCGTCTTGTACAATACAAAACACACGCGCGCGCGCACACACACGCACACACTCACGTAAATACAGCAGCGAGACTGCAACATTAATGAGTAGTTTTGAAGGAAGAACGGACTCGCATGCTGCACAGTTCTGCTCTAAAGACACGCAGCGCGTGCTTTTCGTGTTTACCGCGAGCAAACACGCGAATTATAAAGTCTCGTTACAAGTTGCCGAGTAGGATGATGATTTCGCTCTCGAATGCGATAGAGTAATCTGTTGCTAAAGGTGAAGACAGATTGGGAGAAAAAAATGTTTGATCCGTGCAGCTGCAGTAACATTTATCCGTAAAAATGCGATTATTTTGCAGTGCGCTTAGTTTGTCACGGATGTTGAATATTTTCTTTATCTCCTTTTCTTTATTTCGGATAGACGAAAGGCACATCAATGCCGTTGTGGGATGATATCGCTGAGTGGCTATTACTGCCGATCAGTTGAGGATGTTGGTTCGCAAGTGGCGCGCCTATCTCATAAATATTTAAACGTTGCTATGAATATTGAATGTAGTGCTATACAGATAGCGGACTACTGTACCCGCGAGAGACCGATGAATTTGTTTAATTGTGCATCACGCATCTGAAAAACGTTTTATCGTGTATCCGTGCACACTCACGAGCCGAAGAAGTCGATGCGAGTTTCTTTGCAGCAACTGTATAACTAAGTATTTGTGAGGAGTGTCCTCGGCCAGAAGAGACCGTTCGAGTTATAAAGTTCATCTCAGCACGTTTGATTGCGAGGTGGAACTCGTTAATGCATAATTGCATGCACAAGCACACATACAGGAGATTTTTTATCACACTACAAATATATCGGCACAAGTGTGCGCAACAGCGAATTTGCGCTGATAAAAGTATCATTCAATCGTCCTCTCGATCGACGTTATTTATCGACGCTTTTGTATTTTCGATGACAATTCAATTCGCGCTCACGGCGGACCCGACGTTACACGCGAATTTTCGCAACGGCGCGAGAATCAATGTTCGCCGGATCGAAAAGAGTATCTGCTTCGGAGGAATTCGGCGGGTTTATCGCATTTCTTTCCACCTCGCCGCTCCGCCGCGACGCGGTCGCTAGGATAAGAGTTCCTTATTATGCAAATCCTCGGGTCTATCGCACCTCGGGATCGCTCGCTCTTTTTCCACGGAAACGGCCGGCGCGAACCGGCATCAACCGGAGGCAGCTAGTTGACGCCGATCCCGGGATAATTCGGCCGTAATTAGGCGCAGACGCTTTCGCTCGTCAGATAAAAGCGAGAGGGGAAGGTGTGAACGAGGTTTTCGGCGTATTATCGGCGGCTCGCGTTTCGTTATCAGGTCACGACAATCGATGCGTGAAGAGAACAGCGCATGGCCGCGCAAAGGAACAGCGGGTTATCGCCGTTGTTGCGAGACTCAACCGGAGTAGCACGACACGCTGTCTAGTAGAATCGAATAATGCCGCCTGCAAGTGCAGGCGAGTCGCATGTGCAGCGGGCTATTGTGTCGCGGTATACAAGGTGCTTCGCAATTACGTTCTCTGCCTGTCTTCCTATTTCTCTCTCTCTCTCTCTCTCTCTCTCTCTCTCTCTCTCTCTCTCTCTCTCTCTCTCTCTCTCTCTCTCTCTCTCTCTCTCTCTCTCATCACTTCTCTCAGATTGTCAGACGATTCTCCTCTTCTCGAGTCTTCTTCGTTGGAAGGAATATTACCGTCGTGGTAGAATCTACCCTCCTGTGTATTTGACGTCACTTAGCTTGTCGGTTTAATCGTCTATTGGCACGCATCGAGAAAATTCAGAAGAACAGCCTCTGTAATTAGGAGAGACGGCGTGCGTGCACAAAGTAGTCTCGCGTTGCTTGATAAGAGTGCCGATGAAATGTATTTTTATCAAAGAGTCTCGCGTGCGTTGTTGATTTTCTCATGGTGGGAATACCACGCGAGACCTCGTGCATCTCCGAAACGAATGACGCGACCTCTCTCTCTCTCTCTCTTTCTCTCTCTCTCTCTCTCTCTCTCTCTCTCTCTCTCTCTCTCTCTCTCTCGTGATAAATATATTTTTTTCGCTAAAACGCTTGTAATGAAATTTCCGCTACGCGATAAGATCGCGACCTGTACGCAGAGCAAGGTTAAATTGTCCGCGCGCGGAACTTCATCCCGGCGGATGGCTCTTTAAATCTCGAGACGCTAAATATAATTAAATTTTCGTGAAAACCTTCATTAAAGAGGGCAGCTCGGGCCTCTCTCGAGCATATTCTATTGGCCTCGCGCGGCGTGTACGAGCGGGAGGAGTTTCGCTCTTTACAGCGCGAACGCGCGCCTCTCGCTCTGATCTGCTTAGACACCGTGGACCTTTTTAGAGCCAATCAGTACGCACTAAAGACTCATAAATAGTGTTTCATGTCTACCGACGGCACGATCTCTCCTCGTCCGGCGATAAGTTGGAGCAAAAGGCTTGTATGTCCTATAAATTGCACGCGAGCCTAATCTAACGTATGCCGGCGCGAACGTGAACATAAGATTACGTTTGATTTCAGGCTGGAACGATGCGTAATGCGCTTAGCGGTAGTCGTCAAATTTTTCCGTAACCGTCAAATGACCCTCGTGATGAACGCTGCGCAATTTCGTTTCCCGATAATGCGCGTCGCTAGCGTGTACACATCGGGGATTGATTGCAAATAGATTTATATTCTTTTTCTTTATTTCGTTCTACGTGCGTGTCTTTCTCGCACTTTCAGGCATTTCTGATTACACTGTCCGGTGTTCCTTTTTTTTTCTTAATTTGTTTCATGCTTATTTCTTACGACTCTCTTTCCAAAAATGTAGGCGGAAAAGATTGTTTTACGTGATTCATATTAAGTATCTTCATCTTTTAGGGTTGATTCCGTTTTAATTTTTATTCTGTCGACACGCAAAATTGCTCTCTCTCTCTCTCTCTCACACTATATCTCACATCTATAAAAAATATTTCACGTGAATTACTCGATACATTTGCAACCTGAATAGGATGTAAATTAATATTTTAGAAAATTAATTAACACACATCGCGTGTTCTGGAGCGTGAATAGCTTCGTATGCGTCTACGTTTATATAACGCGAGTTTTTGTAATAACGTGCTTCGGGCACTGCGGACGGTGAAATCCCCTTGTTTGGTGCTGAACAAACATCAATAACAATGTCATGGTAATGTTTCACTTGTGCATTATCACTCGTGCGTATACGTCATGCAACCAGACGTTAGCGTTTACGACTAAACACGAACGGCATTAGCGCACACACACAGCACGCATACGCACATACACATTCAGTCTCTTAAAACTTTATTCGTACACATGTAGGTGTACTTACCTCCTGATTTACCAGCAGTCTCGAATGCACCCTGGCCGTAACTTCCTTTCTTTTCCGATGCGATCACGTCCTATCAGACAGTCCACATAACCACACGCAGGAAGTCGCACTTTATGCACGCGGATAGGAATTGACTCCTTTTTTCCTCCCGACAAGATCTCGATCACCGGCGCCGGTAGTCTTCTTCGATGTTTTTAATTAAAACATCCGTGCGCGACGTCCCGAGGATTTCATACTGCAAGAGATTGAAAAAAGTCAGAGAGAGAGAGAGAGAGAGAGAGAGAGAGAGAGGGCGTAAGTTTCTTACTTAAGGAACAAACTTGTCTCGTTCTCGAAACAAGCGGGCGAAGGGGAAAAGGGGGAAGTTAAGAGGACGGAAAGAATTAAATGAAATTATTTACAGCAGCGGGATGTAAGATGTTCTCTTATCGAAACATTTGCGTTAATGTGAGAAGTCAAACTGAGTAACGTCGAGTAACGTCGAGTCGAGTTTAAAGACGGGAATTCGATTTGAGATCGTTTCGATGTAGAATTAGAAATTTCATCGAGCAGGTTCCGAGAGTCGCAACGGTGCAAAATTGCGCGTGCTGATTGATCCCGACGTTAAAAATATCATCGTGTTGATCAATGCCGAGAAAAATATTCCTTCTTCTTTATTCTCCTGGTGTCACATCTTGCGAGAAGCTCCATCCCGCGAGAGCTTCATCGCGGATACAAGATTAATGAGATTATTTTCGGGCCATTCGTTCGCCGCGAACCACACAGAGGAGGAGTCTCGCTTGCCGTCGAGAAACTATTAAGATATTTCGATATAAACGAACCATCTCCGTGTGTTCGGAGGTATAACGAGTTCGATAACGATCGTGGGGGTCTCCTTTGAGACCAGCCTCGTCTGAATCGCGACTGAAACGGAATCCTACGTAAGGACGTTAACGAAGAGAAACTGCCGTCGAAGGCGGCAGGTCTCAAAGCTGCGACCTGCCGTAGACCTGCGCGCGTTACCGGCGGTTCATCGACGTTCAAAGTCGTCACCTTGACCCGCCGTCAGCGACACAGCGGTCGCGAATGCCGTCTATAAAAAACCGGGCGTTACAAATTCATGAAACCTTCGCTACATCCGTCCAATTGCACCGCGGCTGCCGCGCGATCGGCCGGCTGATCGAACGCCTCGCCCTTCGCCCTCGACTTGTCGTCAGACATAACGGAGGGAGTCGAGGACTTTCTTTGCGATTTTCACGATAACGAAGCGTACAGACAGAGCAAAGCACACTGCCCACGCCGGCGTGATATTATATATACTTTGTGTGACTGAATGGGTTTTATAAATCTTTCCACAAATTTGTCTTTAAGCTTGGACGAATCGGTTAGAAACGGTCTCGAGTGTTCCGGGTAATTTTCCGAGCAAATCTCGCTCGAGTCTAAAGACATGATCGATGATCGTTGTACGCGCGTGTACGTATTGTCGGAAGCCCGCGACGTTTACCAGCGAGAAGGGGAAACCCGCTAACACTGGATTTCAACCCACTGCCATGCTCGAGAGATTTTGCCGTGCGACATTGACAAAAACACGCGGTTCTCACAAGGGTTTCTCCGCTCCCTTCCTTTTCATCGGCAACTTCGCGAGTGTCGCGTGCTGACCGAGTCAGCAAAGTTTCTCGTATGTACCAATTGCGCGATGGAATAAAGGGGAGAACTCGAGTGCTTCTGGATGCAACGTTGTCGCCGGGCAGGCCATCGCGAAATTACCGATCCGTGCAATCCCGCTCGCTTCGTGATGCGCGCGACTTACACTTGTACGTATTGCACCAAGATAGAAGATAGTTTCGCTCCGAGATTAAAAGGCGATTACACAAACATCGGGTAGGTAGGTAGGATAAGAAGATGAAATATATTAAATGGCACGAGGAGGGAGAAACATTTCGCGGAAAGAAGAAGCGGAACTCGCGGTGGCTTTAAAAGCCGCAGCGGTGCGATAAGCGAGGAAAAACTCGTCCGAGTCGCTGAACCGAGTTCAGCGGCATTTATCGTCGGAAAAGTTTAGTGCACCCTCGCCGAAACCCTCGCGTGCTCGGGCTCCTCGGGGTCGCGGAGGGCACACGACACGGCACGACGATGCACGGCATGGCGGCGCGTAGTTTGTTGTGACAGATTCGTAAACCGCGACGTCGATTTTCGAGCTAACCACGACGACGATAACGACGACGAAGACGGCAGGTCTGCAGAAATTTTACAGAGATACCGATTTTACGCGATGTCGATACATCGGATGCCGATAGTACGCGAAATCGGGCGAGGTCAGGCGGCTTTTAGGAGTAAATATTCGATACCGACACTTCATTGTTTCCCGATAAACGGGCCTCTGCAACGTAAACGAATCATCCCCGATCAGCCTTTGCTTTTTGGAGCACGAGCGAGATATTATGAGAGTGCGAGGGTGAGAACGAAGCCGAGGGAGACGTTTAACTTTAAGCCGAGTGTGCTTTACGAACGTTCGGGAACGTTTCACGTTGTTAATGCGTTCTTGTCCAATCAAAAATTCTCTGCAAAATGTATCCGTCTCTTCCACTCAGCTTTCATCGCTTTTGTTCGCGCCGCTGAAACCACCCTCTTCGGAGGAGTCCGCTATTTTTCATTGATTATAGATTAAAGTCTTTTTGTTCTCCCGCCTTTTCCCCCGAGACACCTTGTGTAAATACATAATTATATGGCGGGTGAGAATAAAGTTTATTTTGAGGAATTCCCGACCTACCGAAAACTTGACATACTTTAGGGAAAGCTTTATATACTTCAAAGCTTTGTTTGCGCAGTTAATATTCTATAATTATCATCTTCAAAATAAAAGTTGTAGGTAACCGTTATCACAGTTATAACAGTCGTCGCGAGTCGTATCGTTAGTACATAAAGCACGTGCAGTTAGTTACTCGACAGGTGTTCAACTTAGCAACAATGCGTGGGGGGGGAAGGGGGGGACGGGGGCGGATTCCCGTTGACTTTGAAGCAACGACTGCGAGTGTTTGAATTAAATTTCTCTTAAACGGATGTTTACGGAGTCATCGAGGCGAAGGTGTAATGAATGAGTGTCATTAATCTAACGTCCAACAGCGGAAATCGCGAGTTCGGCCTCCGATCGCGAACGCTGTCTCCATAGGGTCGCGCGAGGTCAAACACGAGAAGGGCTGCTAATGTAGGACAATGAGTTCGGAAAGGGAGATGACATACGCACAAACGCACCCTCGCCTTGGAACGAGATCACGATAATTCTCCGCGTGATCTCCCCTTCAGGGAAGGTGCTTCCTCCCCTGAATCGATCTTAATGAGTCCACGGGTCATCGTCGAAACGACGAACATCGACGAAAGAAATCGACAGTCTTAATGAGAAAAAGAAAAGGAATATCGCGCGAGACTCTCTCGAGCGTGTCGCGAAAGCGCAGAGACGACTTCTTAGAAAAAGAAAGATACATCCATCGCAGACGGCAGGGAAAGCGAAAGGAAACGCGGGAGGGGAGGAAGGGGTTATATGATGCAAAAGACGTGACGCGCGAACGCGGAGCAGATATCGAACAGTACCTCTGTCCGTCGTGCGTCGCGTATCCTCTCGGATGTGTCACAGGAGGAAGTTGAGAGAAAAGTGCCTCGATCGGACAGGAGTGGGTGAGACTTGTCGCGCGCGAGATCCAAGGATCGTCCTGTCGCGCGAGCAGCCGAATGGCATCCTCTCGGGGCGACTGAGGAGAAGGTAGAAGACAAGAGGAAGGACCGGTCGAGCCGCGACGACGGACGATGTCCTCGTAGAGACAAGTGTCTCGGCGAGTCCTTCGGTCCACGAACGGCCGACGACTCTCGACGACGACGGCGACGACGACGCGATGGAGAGCGTGCGTCGCGTGTCCGCGGCGCGAGAGTACTGCTCCTCGCCGAAGGTGGAGGCGCCTACACGCTCTTCGGTATTGATCCACGTGGACGACACTCCTCCTCGCTCGCTCGCTCGCTCGTTCGTTCGTTCGTTCGTTCGTCCGTTCGTCCGTTCGTCCGTCCGTTCGTCCGTCCGTCCGTCCGTCCGTCCGTCCGTCCGTCCGTCCGTTCGTTCGTTCGTTCGTTCGTTTGTCTCTCCGACCAGCCTTGTCGTCGCTGTTCGCAGCATCCACCGGCATCCACGACAACCACCATCGCGGCGATCTGTCGTGTGTGTCGAAGTGACGACTTCCACCCTGCGAATCTGGGGATGCGCTCTCTGGGGATGTTTTCTTTTTCTTTCTCTGAATCTCCCCTCGGCTCGCCGTTTGGAAATTGTCACGGCCACGGATGGGCGGAGAAGAAGCGAGGTGAGGCGAGAGTTGGCAGGCGCGATTCGGCGACAGGGTTCATGTATTTCTCCCTCCCCCCGTCCCTCCCAGTGAATGACCGGTTAATGCTCCGTGCGTGCCCGAAAGGTACGCGCTTCTTTCGCGTGCGACGCGCGTCTAAGCACAACGGATTGATTGGTAGAAAGCATGTGTGATAATTCATGCAAACGAGTCGTCGTTTAACGTAAAAGAAGCTTCCGAGGTGATTCAATAATTCGTACGATAATTAGATGTATGATAATTGGATGCTAGTCGGTGTTTTGCATCGATATATAGAACTTTTCATTCGCTTGGAAAAAAAAGTGGAACAGGAGATTATTAATGACAGCTTTTTTTCTCTTTGGAATATATACGGGAAATGAGGCATTCCTCAAGATTCATTTCGATGTCTCGCCGCACCGCATCGATTTCGAGCCAGCGAGATCCTGCGAACGGCTACGGGCGGCTCGTAGAATTCAGATTACGCTTTCATTCCGAGATAACACTCGAGTTTGATATCCGATTTCGGCGAGATACCTCCGCCAAAACTCAAGAGGCCGCGTCTTCTACATACATACATACAAATAATCCACACGTGTACGTTATAAAGTATTCAACGCTGAATTCGGGTGGCAAGCACCTCCGAGAAAAAAACTATCTCCGAAACTCCTGATCTCGAGTTCGAGGGTGGGCTCGACAGGACATTGGCGCGGCAAGGATGTCTGAAGGTCGTTCGTTGCTCCCGGAGCCTACGCGACGACCGAAGGTTAATTGCCTCGGCCTTTTTCTTGCCTTAGCTCGTAGTTCGACTCGTAGGCGGACTCGCGTGCAGTCGTTCTGTAAATTATCGAAGATAACGAATTATCGTCATCACCGGTGGCACTCGGTTGCTTCGAGGAGCGTGCTCGAGGCGAGTATCTCGCGGAAAATATGCTCTCGCAAACGGCATGTCTTAAAAATGAGATGTCACTTTTCAGACAATCGCTGCTTCCGTGTGTTTTTCCGAGCACGCGAAAAACAGAATCTCCGATTTACATCGCGTACATTTCTCCAGCGTAGCCAGCGGCAAAATACCTTTGCAGTAACCGTTCGTCTCGCGACAGCAATTGGCTAAGACAGTGCCCCGGGACTGTTACGTAATATCGGTGTGAAACGGTGTACGTGTAAATAAAGAATCCTCGTCATTAGCTCCGGAGAATTACACCCGAGACGGTCGTGATACCGGCAGAGAGATAAAATTAGCTCGCGATTGAGTTATAAGATGTTCCCTCCAGCGCGTCGGATACTTTTTTCTAATAAAAAAACACTTCGGTATCTCCTCGTGGCAGCGAGAAAAGTCGGGAAAGTTGATTCCGACGGAACGCCGCTCTCTACCCGGGAGAGAAAAGGGGTATCGTGTATTTATTCTTCCTATTTTTGCGGGGCGCGCAAGAATGGCGTAACTCGACACTACTGTCCTCGGGACAAGATCGAATGCTTCGCAGGAAATTCTACTACTTGGATAATGCGCGTCGTTCCTCATGCGGGGATGAAATTCTCCAGGGCAGCGTTTCGGATCGGTTATTGCGGGATGTCCGTGCGAGAAAGGAGAGACTGTTAGCTTGGAAGCGCCGTGTCCCAACTTTGCCCGAGGACACTTCGTTTTCCTTTGTGGGAAAATGACGAAATCCGCTTGTCGCGTTGATCCGGCATGGAATCTAAGCAGTCGAACGTTGTGTTACTCGTAGAGTAATTTTACTTTACTTTTAATCGCAGGCGCCAACGGCCAATTATATTTGTGGGATGAGCCCGATACAATTCGTGAAATTCGTAGCCCGTTGCTGTTGCGTCGGCAAATTCGTCCGGTTAGAATAAATCGATTAAACGCGGCTCGACATTCAATTCGTTTGCATTTATCGTCGTTGTACGGTTGGTTTTTGAAATTTTTACGGATGTACATCTAACTGCTCCATCAACTTTTTCGCATAGTTTATTTTAAAAACTGCATAAAATCGATACGCTTCCATACCTTGATATGGTATATACGTTGTAAGCAACAGCTGCTGGTTATTGTGTGAAAAACATACTGAGAAGGAAATTGTGGTCAGTTTCAAAATTTCCCAGCAATTTTCTTCATGGTAACCAGAAACTCACCCAGCGCTGGTAACTCATCCAGCTGGGAAGTCTTCGTGCATCGATACAGCAGGTTTCTCTTTCTCTCTCTCTCTCTCTCTCTCTCTCCGTTATAGCGACGGCAGTTATCGTACGAACTATTGAATTATTTAAAAAACCTTGGCGTTGAACGATGATTTGCGGCTATCGGTAATACGTTCAAACATTAGTTTGTATCTGTGCTTTATATTAATTATATATCATGTCGATTTTATAAGCGTGTCTATCGAATGAAGAACAAGAACGGTAGATGGCGGTACTGTCTCAATAGGCCTAATAAGAAAATTATTCATTACGACGAGAAAAGTTAGCAGAAAAGAAACTGAGAAATGAACGACGACTGTGTCAGACAGGACAATTTTATCAAATTTTAATAATTACCGCGGTAGTTACGAGCGGAAAATTGTTGAGGAAAAAGAGAGTTATTGCATCTTCATGGAAAATTGATGCAATTAGACAACATGTACGAAAAAAAAAAAGAACGGCAATTCTAAATTCATATTACATGTCTTTCTTCGTAATTCCCGCTTTGAGACACTTTTAATCCCTCAATTGCCGTGTGATGAGTCCATTTGTTCGATCACCGGTACCAATTAACAGCTATTGTTGCCCTGCGAGACACCGACGCACTTAATCCTGACGAGGGTGACCGGAGATTAAACCGGTCGTTCGCACACGAGTCTCTCTCCGAGAGAGAGAGAGAGAGATAGAGAGAGATAGATAGAGAGAGAGAGAGAGAGAGAGAGAGAGAGAGAGAGAGAGAGAGAGAGAGAGAGAGAGCGAGAGAGAGAGAGACAGAGATCGGTATCCGTCGAAAATTTGCTGAAGCTGTTAAGCTGTTAAACGTAGATTCCCTTGAAGGGATCTCCGAGCCTCCTCGGTCATCTCTGCCATCTTAAGGAAACAATTGCACGAGTTTCTCGCCTCGTGAGTGACGCGCGAAGGTTCCCGCTCCCGGGGCCTAGGTGGCTGCGAGGGCCGAAAGAATAACACGGAAGCGAGATCGGGGGATGACTCCGGGGCTTCGACATGACCCGACGACTTGACAATCAGATAAGGAAGCGTGGTTCTTCCACTGACGTTTCCTTTGTTTGAGAATCGAGATAAGGGACCCGCGAGGGCCGCAGCGTGGAGAAGACTCTCTGTTTAAGCACCGGCAGGAACAAACCCGCCGCACCTCCTTTCCTCTCTCGTTCACATGAGATGCCAAATATCATCGGGTGTATCGCGCGTGTACGCGCATCTCCGCGCTTCGCGCCGGCGGCCACCTGCGAATCGAGCCGCACGTCCGTGTCGTTATATTGAATAAATAATACACGGAAAAGGAAATCGGGCTCGAACAGGCCTCGGGTCTTGGCTTGACGCCAATTTCGTCGCGCACGCACGCTGCAGTCGAGTCGATTCGGATAGAAGTCGACGACCTGACGCGGAAATTTGAGCTACACAATTTGGCGAGGTGAATGCGACAATTAATCTCTTGTCGCTCGCGCAAGTGCATCGCAAGTGTCGCGCAGAGTTAACAACAATGTCTGGTTGATTGGTACCAAGATGATGGGGCCAAGTATGTCGGGTCTTGCAAGCTGTACTGTAATGAAAGTTGCGATCGATCGATTCTGACTCTCTGTCAGTGTCCCTGCGACGCGCAGTCTTCTCCTTCGCTTTTCCTACCGTCATTTATCAAACCTTTCATTTGCCTTGAAGATACCGAAAGACGACGGCTACCTCCTCATCGTTGTAGCCGCGGTCGGGAGGCGTGGTAATTCATCGTTTGGTCGATATTCGCGAGATTTACGACACGCTCGCTGATTAATTTTCCTCACGATGAGGACCTCACTGAACTCTGACGCGGCGTGTTAAGCTTGTTGATGTAATTTAGCCGCGTCTGTAACGGTACGTGGAGCTTAGGAATCTAAATACTTAAGTAAATACTTGGCCGTGATGCATTCGGTCGACTTTCGGATTTGCTTCGAGCTTGTGAAGTTACGTGATATCGAAACGTGAAAATTAACGAGAAAAGAAAAAGAAACACGGATCATGACGGCGCGATCATTCCGCATCTAGCAGAAGAGATTAGCGTTCGTTAGCTGAATCTCTCCGTGAAAATCGGTGTCTTCGCGTTGACGATTCTCATATTTGCGATGCACTCGTGCGAGCCGTGCGAGCCTGAAGCTCGCTCGAATGACGTCGAGAGGCACCGTACAGTTTTCCCAGCCACGTTGCCGGTAAATATTTGCCAGAAGGTGGAAAAGAGCCCTCTTAGAATTCCACCGGCAATCGGCGCCTCAGCGTTTAAAATAACCCTCGAGGGTTTAAAGCTCCTCGAACTTAGTCTCTAAAATCAACAAAGACCGTAATGAAATAATCCCTTAAAGCATATCCTGCACCTTCGATCTTATCTGCGACGAATTTCGCCAATACTATGACTAGTGCGCGTTGCAATAT